ACATCAATCTGGCATCCATTTTTGTTTGTTTACATAGCTACTTTTAATTTATAAGCCGCAGATTCGTATTTTGCTTTCAGTATATGAAATATTTGGCGGTAAAATTCAAACTGTCTAAATACCCGCTACAGCGGGCTGTAGGGGTGAAAGGAGTTTTACTGACTGCCCGCTGAAGCGGGCTATCGGGGTGAAAGGGTTAATTTACATGCAGAATGTACATAACTATGATAAGTAACCAACACGAAAAAAAAATCTTGTTGATTTCCTTTAAGTTATGCTCTGAAATGTTCCCCAAAAACAACTTCTGACTTACTGTTTGGCTTAATAACAAACTTTCTTAAGTCCATTTTTATATTTAATGACAAAATTCCTTAATCTAAGTATATTGCCAATATATCGATATTACAAAATCGTATTGCGATATGATATTTTTTGTCATTGTATTGCAATATATTGAAATATCGATATTATTGCCCAGCCCTACTTAAAGAGTTACACTTATGTGCGAAACACCCAAGGATAAAGACAAAAAGGCATCTGTAATGCACTGGCTGCCTAATCCCCGAATCTGAATCCCATTGAATACATTTGGGATTCTAAAAGGAATGATAAAGTCTCCCTTCCCCTCTCCACACAATTTCAACGATTAAGAAAGATCCATACAGTAGGTGTGACAGCAGAAAAGTCACCCTCCTATTCAGAGGTACATGTTATTCATGAGAAAAGATTTTTTGCAGTAATTAGAGATAGTGATGGTCTTACATGTATTCCATGGAGATTATTTTATGTGAATTTCAACTGTTGTCCGTCGTCCATCCGTCTGTAAACAACTACCCTTGGGTAGTGTAGATGCTAAATTGTTCAAATCATGACCCCCGTGGTTAGGGCGGGGCCACAACAGGGAATCCAAGTTTTACATAGTAATATATAGGAAAAAAACTTTAAAAATCTTTTTCTCGAAAAACACCATCCAGAAAAGCTGACGCTTATGTGGAAACATCCTTGGGTAGTGTAGATGCTGAATTGTTCAAATCATGATCCCCGGGGTTAGGGTGGGGCCACAAATACGGAATCCAAGTTTTACATAGAAAAATATAGGGAAAAAATTTTAAAATCTTATTCTCAAAAACCACTGTGCTAGAAAAGCTGAAACTCATGTGAAAGCATCTTTGGGTAGTGTAGATTCTAAATTATTCAATTCATGACCCCCGGGGTAGGACGGGGCTACAATAGGGAATCCATGTTTAACATAGAAAAATATAGGAAAAAACTTTTAAAATCTTTTTCTCAAGAACCACGGGGCCAGAAAAGCTGACACTTATGTGGAAGTATCTTTGAGTAGAGTAGATTCTAAATTGTTCGAATCATGACACTTTAGGATTGACAGTGTTAAGATAGGAATTACAAATTGGGAAATCTCTTAAATTACAGAATGGCCAAAGTTACTCAGGTGAGCAATGTGGCCCATGGGTCTTATAATGAAATATGTATGTAGGTTCTAAAATTATACTTAATAAAAAAAATTAATTCTTTTCATAACAAGATCGAACCTCCTTAAAAACAAATTAAAACATTTATGCAAAATCTTAAATGATATACATTCAAAGTACAGTTGTTTTAATGATGATCCCTGGCTTAAAATAAAACGATGTTATTATTCAAATACAATAAGCAAAATTTTACTTCAGGTCTTTATCAGATCAGCATTATTAAGGTACATTCAGGCACTGTTGAGCCTCAATTGTTATGAACATGACCATTTTTCCTGATATCTGATCCAGAAAAAAATGTTATTTAACCATTATTTAATTTATCTAACAAACATGCAATATCGAATAAAGATTGATTCAATAAACCCGGAAGTTCAGTATATTTCACCAAGGTATTTCTAGCCAAAAAAAATGTTTTACAAAAGAATATATTGGACAAATCGTTCAAAATCTTATACACACCAATACGAGGCATATTGAATTTGTCGTATTCTTTTTCTGATGCAATTGATGAAAATAAAAACATTTTTAGAAAACACCAAGACACCAAGACTTAAAATATTTGGGTATTATGTGGGCAAAACCATTCTTATATTTAAAAATCTATTTAAATAAAACAGTATAGGGCATAAATGGGACATAATTCTTTTTTTATGAATTCTTCCAAGCGGATCTTAAATAAACTTCAATCATATGAACTTTTTTTTTACCTCTTTGACCTCTTGATGCATTTTGACTTAGACTTCCATTTTACAGATCATAAATGAAGAAACCAACACACACATTAGCATAAAATTCGTTCAAAATACCGAAGCATTTGATTTTTATGTCCCTGAACGAAAAATCCTTAATTATGTCTTGTCTGTCTGTATGTTTTTCTGTCTGGTGTCAACTTTTACCTAGTCAACTATTGAGTTGGTGGGGCTATTTCATTTAATATTTCATATCAGGCGATTTCATATTTCACAAATGTATTTCTTGTGACAAAATCTTACTTTGGGTACCACCAAATATGGCCTTTTGACCTTGGCGTTGGAGCTATCTACTTTTATTTTTTTTTAAAAATACCACACTTTAACTTTTCCCATAACCTTTGAACGGTTGGAGCAAGGGCTTTCATACTTCACATGTGTAATCATTGGGACAAGACCATTCAATTGGTATAAATATTTTGAACAATTTAACCTTGACCTAAGAGTTTGAGCTCCTTTCTAAAAACTTTAACCTTGGTCATAATTAACTTTTGAGCAGTGATTTTTTAAAAATAGGGCTTTCTTATTTCATTGACTTCCTTGTGGTACCAACATTTTTGACCTTGACTTTTGGAGTTTGATATTCATTTGAGGAAATTCAACCCTCGCCATAAGCTGCCATACGGGGGCATAGAACCATACTACGCTTAGTTTGGACTTTCAGTAAGGCGTGACATTCTCAGTGCTACATGTTCACCGCCTGCCAAATGGCAAATAGATTTTTATTAGTTTAGAAATTAATAACTTCAGGAACTTTAATTAAATTGTTGTTGACAATGATTAGACGACCTTTGTGCATTATGAGACAATGTAATTGGATATTCGATACAATAATTTGCATTTGCTTGAACTTCTATCTCATGTATATTTCAACAGTGAAGGAAAGTGTATAAATTTCAGAAACTAATTATGTAACGTCGAGAATGCCGCGCCTTACTGAAATTACAAACTAAGTGTGAAATAGTTCTAATTGTTTCACAAACACATCTTGAAATGGTATGGTGTGATATAAATCACAGATTTTATGTCGTAGCTAAACTGTATTCGACATGTATTTTATATTCATGTGTGAAATAACACGGTGTATATATACATGTATGTAATGTTTGTGTTTGTTTGATTTCTTTAAATTGACACATTCTGCTAAAGATATAACAAACAAATATACTAAATAAAATACATGAAACATGAATATATATAGTGCCATATACATACAAAGAAGTATGTTAATATCACACCACTGTTTCCTTCTCATCCTTGGTACCAGGCATCAAATGGTCTTGGACCTCTGAGCTTGGGAAAATATAATTCAATGAGCTGATAGCAAGGCCGAGTTTAAACAACTATGTGATATTTTTTGTTTCAAATTCTTGTGAAAATGAAGAATCGTGGGCCTCTTGAATTAATTTAAGCTTTACATATGGTTTAAAAAGCCCTTTTTTTATTATGTACCCATAAATGTTATCTATAAAGACTAAGTTTTTAAGCATTTTTCGAATTTTGAAAACACTTTCTTCTATCGAACATGAATCATCTTTATTTAAAAAAGAAACTGAAAACACAGCATGCAAGTATAGTTTTACATAAACTTTCCTTTATTCATCACTGAGGTGTCATTGGATGTATATCTGATATAAAAAGTTCATCTTTTTTTCCTTCAAAATCTCACATTTCCTAAGCCTGTTTCTGGTACTCTGAAAAATAAATTAACCAAACGAAATTCAGCATTGAAGTTTTAACATGAAAAACACACATTATACTGAAACAATCGAAAAATTTTGCAAGTAACGTTTTTTAATGATGCATTTGAATGTTTTGTCAATACATGTACATTTTATTTACTCACGATTATCCCTATAAACAGCACCCTGACATGTTTTGAATATCTTCTTCCAGGATGTTTTTTTTTTCGGTTTCTTAAACCAGTCTGCACCCGCCTTAATACTTTTCACTCGTTTTCTCTTCAATGCCTCATGAGCAGCGGATTCTGCATCCCTCATATCCGTGGCTGTAATAGTTTTTCCCAGTTTAACTCTTTGGCCGTTGTCTCGTCTAATTTGCCTCAGTCTTTTAACTGGTTCTGTTGAATATCCTACCTTAAAAAGCGGTCCATATTTCATGATATATACTTTTCCTGGTCCAGAATATCTACCCCTTCCACCTCCTTTTACTTTTCGAGAAGACATCTGAAATAATTAAGTTATATTTTCATACTCTGCTTACGTGCTTTCCTGCGATCCATTTTGCTGCTCAACTGCTAAATCTTATTACTATTGTGATCCATATCACATTTATACTTAAACGCATAAACAAGTTTTTAACAACATCATTCGCACGCAAAGTAAAATGTACATGTATTTGCTAAACATGATTTCCTATGTTGACCCCGGCCCGTGTTTTGTTTTTAACTTGCTACAGTATCATATAGAGTTTTTTAACGGGGCATGGACACACTTTCAACAATTTTTTTTTACTTGAATTTTAATTTTTACAATTCCTAGGTATGGCATCATCTACTGATCAGCCAAACTTTGAACATCATTCGTTTATTAACAAACGAGACTGAGAACTTAAAGTTTATGTTAACATAAACAAGGCAAGAGCCTTGTTAATGTTTACATACAGAAAATATCATATTTATAACAAAATGAAATTCAGCAAATCACTAGAAACTGACTAATTGAATTTAGAATTAACTTTTTATTGAAATTATCTGCTTTGTACAAACATATTAGTATATTAACATAATGTAAACAAAACATGAAACAGACCATGTTTACATAACAAAGACTTGGAGCTCTAAATCTGTCTTGTATCTTGATAACCGAAGTATACATTTTTGATTATCAATATTAAGACTAGTTAATAATTTGATAAAAAATGGATAATAAATTTGAATTTTTTAGCTTTAACTGTGTCCATGCCCCTTTAAGGGGTCAGTGCAGGCATTGAAAAGTAAAAAAAAAAACCAAAGTAATGTATAAATACACATGTAATATAAACATGAAATTCTATCAATAAATCACAAAAATAATAATGCATATAAATACGGTACCTTTTAGCTTGTGTCGTTCTTCCTTGCTTGTAGAGAATTCCACACACTTGCCTCTACCTTGTCTATATCATATACCTAGTAGTGTATCAGCCCTGATACAGGTGTTTTGGACTAGGCGAGACAGCGCCTCTGAAGTAGGGCTGTCTCGCCCTCAGGGCTGAGATATCTCTGTCTCGGTCCGTCGTCAAGGGGCTGTCTCGCCCTCAAATTTCAAATCATTATTTCTGTTTAATTTGTGTGAATTAAGAGTAAAATTCATATTTAAGTATTAAAGAGAAACATTATATATCGAAAAATTTAACCGGAATCTTTAAAAAATATTCATTTATATAAAAATTTTGAGAAAGTTGTTTTTAAAAAGTGCGCCAAATGATAGCACTTGTGACGTAAGAGAGGTAACTCTTGTTTACTTCTAGGACAGCAACAAGTCATTTTTTGAAAAATGGACGTTTATTTGCTTTGACAGTAAGACAATATCAAGTTTTCATTTATTAAATGTGCCATTTTTAATTTAATATATATCGTAAACAAAACAAACAGTTAGTATAAATCTCAGACTTATAATTTTTAACGATTCGTTGTTCAAAACAGTTGAAACCCCGGTTCGATCCAAAGTGAAAGTAGAATATTTTTTAGTTTGGTACCTTTTAAATATTTGTTATCTAATGTGCTTCGAAATGAAATGTTTCAAAACACCAGGATTATTCTTTTCAATGACCAGACCATGCAAATTTTTCTCGTAAATGATTACTGAGTATTCACCTCAGGGGCGGATCCAGCAATTTTTGAAAGGGGGGTTCCAGGGTTGTGTCCCTCTACCCCCCCCCCCCCCCACACACACACACTCTCAGGCAAAGATTCACACACACATGTATGGAAAAATATAAGATTGTGAAATAATATCTTTGTTCTACGTCCTTTTTTCTCTGAAAAGGTACCCCCAGTCCGTATAAAAAAAATCAACACATTAAAAAACTACTGAAGCCTTATAATTGAATGGATTTGCAGCATTTCCGAAGAGTAGAATGAATTTTCTTAAAGAATTTGAAAATCCTTTTTGGGTTAGGTATAAAACAATGAATTAAATTTTAGTTCCTTCATAAGATTTAGTTTTAAAAAATGGCACCTTCTTGTATATAGCCAACACAGCCAAATTAAGATCGCGGGAATCTAATTTTAAATTTAACCTCGCATGTTACATTTCATATATAAGATATATAAAAATAAGTAGAATATTTTCTACCATTCACTCATAAAAAGTAATAGTGAAGGTGAATGGAAAAACTAAATGTTTGAGAATCTATCTATTCAATACATATTTAAGTTAGACGTACAAATACTTATTCTCGGGAAAAGTTTTATCCCCCTTCTTTCTCCCTCTTTCTCCACTTGGCAAAAAAATAAAGGGGGGGGGTCCAACCCCCGGAACCCCCCCCCCCCCCCTCTGGATCCACCAATGCACCGTCAAGCAACATCTCAGGAACTTCGAACTAAAGAAAGATAACTCTAATTTTCTTACGACTGAACTTTTTGATCGAAAAGTTTTGGTTTTAGTTATATGATATAAACAACATCACACCACTGTTTTGATCTCGTCTCTGGACTCTGGTATCAGCCCTCGGGTGGTCTCGGCCCGCGCCCTCCGGGCTTGGGCCGATACCAACCGCTCGGGCTGATACCAGGGCCGAGATCAAAACAGCAGTATGACATTCTATATATCTGTAAGGTATAAATATAAGAATAAGGACAGAAGGTTTTGGAAATCATTACATGTGTATCTATTTTTAGGAGGTGATTATAAACATTAAATATTGACTACGTACAAAATAAGAATAGCATTGTATAACAATTATTTAAATATCAGCAGCATAGCAAAATATTACTTCCTTAACCTTTAAGAGATTGTTAGATAAATAAAACAATTTAATTGTATGGAGGAAAAATGGTGTAACCTTACCGCACAAAAGTACACAAGTTCTTTTAAATCACAGCGTCCTTAAAGAAACTGAAAAAAATACGCTATCGGGACAACCAGGTCAGATTTTAACCGCGCACGATTTTTATTGGGTATTAGTCGTAGTGATGATTTTATATTGATTTTAATTGAAAGTTTTTCTTCTTTCAGATGCCATTGAAAGTTGTGAAATAACTTTCAATAATAACCTTGATTTAAAATAAATGTTTTATTTAAATAGTGAACATTTAAATAATTTATAATAATTACCTCAAATCAAAGTCCAGAAATATTTAGAGATAACTTTGAAAAAATAAATAAGTAAAAAATAGTCATTGGTCAATAATTTCCCACCGAAACCTTTAATCCCCCTTGTCTTGTGTGTCATTCTAATTACAAGCCCAGGAGAGATCAGTATATTTAAGTTGTGTTTTTGTTATTTGAAGAATTCTATCAGACCAATGACAGCAAGTTGTCTTTTTGACGCTCTTATTTCATATTAATACTTTTATAGTTTTCATCTTGATAATTGTATGACTGAAACAATTAAGCAAATGACTTTCTTTAAGGAATCACTGTCTAGTTTTGAGAGTATGCCAGGGCATCAAAAATAGGGGGAAACATGGGATAATTTGGGTAACGGGCCAAGCCCGTTATGCTGAATTTATCCCATGTTTCCCACTATTGTTGATGTCCCTGGCATACTCTCAAAACTAGACAGTGATTCCTTACATTTCCATTTCATTGTGAAATAAAATTGTAGACTTGGACATTAAAAATGTAGACTAATAGATTTAAATTACACGAGGACTTCCATGCCAATTTCAATAGTCCTCGCACACTGATGTCAAACAAAAAGGCAGCCGCACGAGATTTTCATGCATATTTGGCCTCCTTAGCTTCAGACACAGAGTCAGATGCGCACGAGATTTGCATGCGTATTAGGCCTCCTTAGCTGCTGACCTATCGACCTGCCTAATTTACATTCTGGCAGAATTATCAAGAAATAAATTCCCCCAACTTTCAAACACTTATCACAGAGAAAAAAATTAGAAATGGAAATATTTATCAATTATTTGAGTTTATCAACATGTTTTAGGAAAAGATGAGAAATTTTCATGAAAATGAAATCATTTAATCTCTAAACTGTGAGGTAACCTTTTAATACATGGTTAAAGGTGAGTTAGGTAAGCTTTTACTTTAATGAGATCATAGAAATAAAATCAATTACATTAATTCAAATATCTCAATTTCCGAATTTTCTCATTTCATGCAAATTTTCATAGAATTTATGCTACAATTCCACATTTTGTTTCAGAAAACATTCATCACAAGCTTATGCAGAGAGTATAAGATATAAGCACTGTAATAACCTTGATTTATGATAAAGATTTTTTGTCGCTCCATATTTCTGTATGTTTTATATCTTCATTCCTTAAAAGATTATTTATCATTAATCAGCTATTATTTAACCTCTATTCCTGATATGTGTATTTTTAACGGTTTTGGGCAGCTTTCTATTGATTCGAAATTTCATATTGAAAAGTTTGCAATCCGACATTCATGTTGTGGTGTTGTTAAATTAGGAAGCCTAGAACATTCTTGAAAGTTGAGTAAAATATCATGATAAGGACTTAAACACATGATTAATTGATAGATATCATGAAATAAATGCAGGGACGAATATTATACAGTAAAAAATAATACCAAAAGCGAGAAAAAAGTAAATGAAACATATGAGAAATTTGAATCCTTTTGGCATATGGTATATTTATGTGTGTATAATAAGATTGTGGAAATTATAAAATCTATCGATTTTTTTTCCGTACAACGTACTTGCATTTCCGAATAGAAAACAAAAACTCAAAGTTGATGAAACAGGAATATTAAGAGTATCTTTTAAATACGTGTTTGCTCTGCTCATGTTTTGCATTGTTTTATGGAGTTTGATATTGATAACTGTTCGTTATCTCCATATCCTTCATTAAAACATCATATCACAAGTTAGATTTGATTACCTTGTCAGCAATACCACCTATCAACAGAATGTTGACTAAGTTTTTTTTTTTTATTTCAATTTTTAAGCCATTATTTACACATTATATTGCCTACTGATTTTCACTATTGGCCGATCATGACAAGGTGCAAACAGCAGATATGACGGGCTGAGAAGGAATCTGCACTGGCTCTGCTTCTGATTTGCATCGGTTTAAGAGATATTTGAGCTTGACTACTGTTCGTTACATGTATCTCCATGTTTCATTGTTTCTGCGTGTCAAAAGGGATTTCAAATTTCTATTTTGGCAATTGATAAATACAATCGAATCTTTCTGCTGTCTTTAATACAGTAGATAAAAGACATCATGACAGTTCATGGCGTTTGTATGTGATTAGGTGACGACAAGAAGTACGTCAACTTTTCCAACAATTGA